AGTGAATGAACTCTTCTGACTTGTCTTTATAGTCAGGGAATTGTTTTTCCATGGAAAAAATTGTCCTTATCAGGGGCATTTCCTGGAGGTGAAATAGAAAGCCTGCGGGAAACTTTGAACTTTTTGGCTGGATTTTAGGGAATATGGCGCACGGGATCGACGTGCTTTAGTCGTCGATGTTGCCTTCCTTTTCGCGATCGACAACTAATGTCAAGGTGGACCGCAGATGTTTCCACAAGTTGCAGAGTAGATGGTCCAAATACTCGTAAGACCGGGCAACGTCGAAAGCACATGGCGCTTCGGAATATGGTGACGAATCAACACATTGAGAATGTTACAGACCTTATATTACCGTCTTATGTTGGACGATATTCGCAGACACAAAAAGCTTTCAGAACATGCGCATTACATTTTAGTACATACTAGCGAATTCCACGCGATCCTACTTATCTACTAGTTGAAGTATCTTCTTTTTTAGTGTTTTTGCTTGTCTAGTTCAAGTATCATCACCTGTTATGCGAAATTGCGGCGGTCCGATTTTGAGTGACACGATCGAGAACCGATCAAATGACAAAAATCGGCATTGAACCCTCCCTCATCAACTTGAAGACTGTCGAACGCTGAGAAACTAGGATCATGATTCACACCTCTTGTCAATGTAGAATAGACCTGTCAAAATGGGTCATAAACCTATTTGTTAACCATATATCAATAAATGAGTTAATTATATTCAATAAATGGGTCATAAATGTATATAAACATAATATGAGTGTTAAATAGATCATAAATGGATCGTAATGGGTCATAAATGGGTTTATAGCTTATTTAAACTCGACTTATTTCTCTCAACTTCACTCAATCTCGCACTAACCACTCCCCACTCTCATCTTAGTTTGGACATAAGTTTTCCTAAATTGAGATAAATATAGAAGTATTTTAGCAATATGGACCAGGTCGAGTATAAATTGGGTATGGGTGGGGTCAAATATGGGTCATTAGATTTGTATTACATGAAAATGGATCAAAACGGGTTTAATGGGTTTATTTGGCTTGAACCATTTTCAAATCAACCCAAACCCAGCCCAATCCGGCCCATCCGTTTGACATATCTAATGTGGAACCTCTACTGTTGGGCTTTGTCATGAAAACCAGATGTTGGCCTTTTTTGCTTCCCCAGTCTGAAATTTTATTGTGAGCTACGACTGAACGCGACAAACATTAATCTACGTAATGTATTTGATGAGCGATTGTCACTTTTAAGGAATGTAGAGAAAGCATAGTCTAATGACAGTTCATCGATTGATATTCAAGAATGCTTCACCATTGAGGAGGGGGCTCCTATACCAGAAGGAAGATGTTTATATTGATGGATACGTTAACTTTATAGGAAATTTTGAGCATGTAATCGTTTAGATTTTGTGAATATTAGATTTTTCTGTCACCCCAACTTGTTGACCATGGGATTGACCCAGAAAACTTATTGACCATAGGCACGAACATGTCTGTAGTGTTTATTTTGAGTTTTCAGTTTAAAACTCTGATCTTACATTGTGAATGCTTTCACGGTACAAACTTTTGATTTGGGCACCACTTTTGTGAATTTCTTGGATGACTTGGGTTCAATGAACTTTACAGAAATGATCATACTCTACAAATGATATGAAATACTTATAGGAAATGATATTAATGTATTAGTATAACTTCCACTTTGCCTTTTAGGTGGAATGGAATAATCACAACAAAATCGAAAGCATGACAGGTTCTAGCTAAGTTAAATGACATGACCTTGTGATGTATATGTTTCTTTCACAATAGCTGTAAGTATGTTAGATATATATAGTTCTCTATACTATCACAAAAGGGTGCATTTATCCCAAAAACCAAAACCTAGCGCGTTACGAAACCAAGGACTAAATTTTTTGTACAGTTATTGAGTGCCATCGTCCAATCACAATTCACAAGACACCGTGAAACCTTCTGATATTTGATCTGCTCTTTGGCCTGTACCTTGATTTTTATTTTTATTTTTTATGCTACCTTGATTTTTTATCTTTTGAATAATAAAGTAGTTTGTATCTTTCATCTAAGGAAACATATCATTGCCCTTTGCCTTGTTTAGATGTATTTAAAGTCCATTCGATTTGAGGATGCCGAGAATCTGCAGAGAAAGATTCTTCATATGTTGGAGTTGTCGGGAAAAGTGTCAGAAAAATTTTAAACCCAATGTGTTTGTGATAATTTAGTCATAACCCTTTTGTCTTTGTGCTAATTCAATCTTTCTAGCTAATTTTTAGCTGAATTTTGCTAACGTGAACGCTGGCCGGCCTACGTGACACGGTCGACACTGATGTGGACAACTTTTAATAATATTTTAATATTTTTTGGGATTATCTATTTCTTTTCTTTTCTTTTTTGCTTCCCTTTCTTTTTCCTCTGGTTGGTGAGGCTCGGTAGAGGCTACGACCTTGTAGCCTTTGCCCTCCCCGGATCGGGCGAGGGCTCGAGCCTCGCCCAACCATGGCAAGGCCGCTCTTGTGGCCATCCGGTGAGGGCGAGCCTAGCCGGCCAGAGGAAAAAGAAATGGAAAAAAAAAAGAAATAAAGAAAAAGAAATAAAAATTTTCAAAAAAATATTAAAATATTATTAAAAGTTATCAACGTCAACGCCGGTCGTGCCACATAGGCCGGCTCAGCGTCCATGTCAGCAAAATCTAGCCAAAATTAGTCGGAAAGATTGAATTGGCACTATATCAAAAGGTTTATGACTAAATTGGCACAAAAAAAAGTTTAGGGCTAAATTGGCATTAATGCAATAAGTTTATGACTTTTCTGACACTTTTCCTAGAGTTGTCCAAGGTTTGATTTTACATGAAACTTTCGTCCTTGATTATGGTATATTAGAATTCGCTATTCAATTTTGAGACATGTGTGATTCAGGTTGTTGTACCTTTCAAATGTTCAATCATGTCATTGAACTTTTGAATTGGCTTCAGTTGAGCGATACGTACATATAAGTACCTACCTACTTGTGGAAAAGACAAGAAAAATGAACATAAGTATCGCATTTCGGATGAAAAATTGCAGACTAGGTCGGGCACAAGTTTTGCAATCATTGAATACTCGTAATATACTTTTGGTGATATGTTAATATGTTTGTCCAGTTGTCAACAATTCATTTTTGCCAAAAAGGAAATAGGTGGCCTAGTCATATAAATGTCTACTAGCTCCACAGCCCATGCATGCGCTCGGACGAAAAAGTCGAAGGAATTTTATTTGTGCAAAAAATGAAAACTAGGGTATAGATATGATGGTATATTAAGTCTGCTATCACGAAATTACTTTTGTGACATCAATTTAATTCAAGAATCCATTGATTAAAGGGAGTGCATTTTTTTCTATTAAACGTCCTTATGATAGATAGTCTCAATATGTAAACTCTTAGTGCAAACATCTTAGTTTAGTTATAGGGTAAATTTAATTTGTTTCAAATGATTATTTTAGAATATACATTACATTGGGTAAGTGCAATCATGGTTTTCATCTTAAATTATTTTCAATAGCAGCATTTGACTTATTTAGGTTCATTCCACATTTCTTGTCTCTTTCTGGAATAGTTCATTTTATGCCTTCTATCGTGGATATTTTATAGTTTTAATTTATATTTAAAACTTGACTTAAAACTTTTGGCTTGATAATTTGTGTCATTTTAATTTTATTTTGGGACTTTTACTTGCTACAAGCTTAAAAAAAGTATATAGTTGGTTTGGATTTTAAATTTTTGGAGCTTGTGCTTGATTTAATATAAACTTAAATTTAATTTAATCTCATTTTAATATAAAATTCTTTCATTATTTTATTTGAAATTTGAAATGAAATTTTGTCCTATTGATATTATTTTGGACCAATGATAATTGGCAATGTGTTCATATACGGCAACCATAAAATTTGCCAATTGTCAAAGTAATGATAAGGCTTAGTCATACACTGCTTTGATACCACCGGAAGCCACCATGGTTCCCTCTATGATGTTCGACATATTCCTCCACTGTCTAATTAATGTACAATGGACTACAAGGCATGGCATTCTGTGGAGACTGTCTTGGCTGCTGAAGGACTTACCCTGACACTACAGAGCTGGAAAGTTGAGCGAAGCACAAAAACTTCTTGAAAGGTGAGTTATCATATCAATATTTGAAAATGACAATTCTCCATAACGTTTTCCAAACAAGTTCCGGAGATATTGTTCCTATAGGTGTCTGGAAGCAAGGAAGACTTTGCTGAAAGAAAGCCACAAACAGTATTTACTATCATCGACTCTCCAAATTTTGACCCAGCATGATTTAGAATTCTCGATTCTTCTCGATACCTGGATCTCTTACTGATGCCTTTTCTCTCCATATTGTTTCTGTAAATGGAGAAATGTATCGTCCATATAAACCTTGCACTTCTACTTGTTTAGTTTGTCTGAGGTGCCACAATTTGAATCCTTCGATGGCTTTGCTGTACATACTTGCAAAATTTTCTACAAGGAGGTACTCTGGTCAAACTTCCGATGTGCGATTGCTGGAAGTGGACATGTCTTCATGATCTCGTTGATATGTTAAGGAACGTCGCTTAATAATCTTTTGTTCCCATATGCGTGATTTTCGAATTGTTGAAGATAATAATGTAGAAGTTGAAGCCCTGCCTTATGTCATTTGTCAGATCTCATTGTTCGTTTGAATTAGACTTGGTGTTCTACATATGGCAACAATTACACCACTTTGCATTGAGCATGGACCATACTTTCCCCTTTTTCCCGGGTTCGGATTTTAAGTTGATTACATAACTATCCCGAAGAAAAAGGTACTAGATCTTCATTTTTTTTTTTTGGTAAGGATACTAGATCTTCATTTATTTATATGTAAAATGTAGAAACGCCAAATTGTTCCCAAAATGAGTTCATTGAGGGCTTGGGTTACATGTACTGATGTAGTTTATTCTCATCGAGTACTATTTTTAAGCTTGGAAGTGGAAAAACGTGTTGCTGTTCGAATAGACAAACTATTTTTGCTCCTTGGGCAGGTTGCAGCCAACATGCTTCGCTTGGCTAGGGTGGGAATGCTAATTTCCAATCAGTTAAGGAAGAGAATTCCAGCAGAAGCAATTGTTGAGCTAGACAAGGCGAAAGGTTTCCTAGACAACTCGATAAGGTCTTAAATTGCTTCTTCGTTAACTCTTCGCTAGTAGCTTGAGCTTCAACATACTCTCTCTCTCTCTCTCTCTCATACACATTGGTTGGAGCCATAAAAGTTATGGGTATCGAGTATCTAACTTATTTTAACTTGTGCCATCTGTTTTATGTATGGCAATGGCGAATAATTTACTAATACAATCATAAGTTGTAATCTTTAATCTTAGGCTCTAACTGTACAGTTGAATTCCATAAAATTAAGTAAAAAAATAGTAAGCCACAACTAAATCAGAATATCTTGTGATCGACCTTGACGCTCTCTGGATGTTCATGATTTTGTCTTTTATGTCCTGAACAGGAATCATGCTCCTCCTGCTGCAGAGGACAATAAATATTATGTTGCTCTTGATGGGAGTATAGAGCTCGGAGGAATTTAACAAGATGGCACGCTGAATGGCTCATGTACTTCTAAGTCAATAGTCAATGATTGTCATACTTTGTCTACTTAACCTTTTAGGGTGCGCATGATAATTATTCCATTTCTTTATTTTTAAATTTGAAACAAAAATCTATTTGATAACGTAATTTCATTTTTTCAATTTCTGTAACAAATTTTTACTCCAAAAATTGATTTGAAATGGAAATCAGAAGTAAATAATTTTTACTTTTCTATTTCCAGAATAGAAATAAGAAATAAAAATTCTTCTCATTGCTCATCCTCGCTATTAGCCGGCCACTCACCGACCGCTCGCTGTTGCCATCACTTGCCTCCTGACGCCTCCCCCCGACGCCGCCCACCTCCTATCGTCGCCCGCCAGCCACCGACCACCTCCTTTCGTCAGTCGCCGCTCGTCGATCACCTCCTGTTGCCATCCTCTGTCGCCTGCCAGCCATCGTTCGTCGCCATCCTCCGTCGTTAGTTGCCTCCCCCCGCCATCCGCCTCTCGCCACTATCCACCACCATCGCTTGTTGTCCCGCCGTCTGCCATTTCGTTCTCTACCGCCTAACGCCGATTGCCTCCCACCATTGGCTGCCGCCTCCCACCATCGGCCACCGCCTCCCGCCGTCATCCACCACCATTTGCCACTGCTCGCTAGCCACCTCCTACCGTCCTCCACCGCCACCCACCTCCTGCCTGCTACCACCCACCTCTTATCTCCGCCCACTTGCCAATCGTCCGGGAGGGAGAAATTTTGTGTCGTTATCAAACGAATTTCTATTTCAAGAATAGAAATTTTGTATTGTTATCAAACGCGTATTTTGGCTCAAAAATTCATCCATAAAATAAAAATAGAAAAATAAATTTCTGGCCAGAAATTTATTTCTAGAACAGAATAGTTATTATTCACGCCATTAGGGTCCTACTTGGTAATCTTTTACCAAAATCTCTTCTCTTTCTTAGATTCTCTGTGGTTTGGCCAGGAACTTGATTTTGAAGGCTATGATGCAGTATTTGAAAGTCATATTATAGCTTTGCACTTAGTTTGAGCGTCCGGTAATCTTATTTTCCTTAAATATATACCTACATGAATTTTCATTCTTGAAGGCTGCTGATGTATATTCCATCAATCTTCTATAGGACAATTCCCTCTCTGTCCACCTTGTCAGGGCACCTTTCTTCTTCTCGATCACCAAATATCTTTCCTTCATGCAAGAGACCCTTTCTTTGGAGAGACTACATTACTTGGCTATGTAATGCCTATATTTCCTTTCCATTTCATAATAACAATTTCAAAAAAATTTGTGGGACTTTGGGAAGTCAGGTCACTTAGAAGGTAAAGATCATAAATGTTATTGAAATGTTTGTTTAGAATGGATTGAATAGGGACATACAAAAAACATATGGTTCTTATTTTTATGATGTTTGATTAATTTCCACATTTGACAGGGTCAATTCTGTCTTGCTTCAATGTTTATTAAGATTTTCACTTCCAATGACAGAATAGCGAGGGAAGTACCTATCAAATCAGTGAAGCAGAGAGGTAGATTGAGAAATGGAAATTCGGCAGAGAGTGGAGACAATGGACGCGTAGCAATGACCATACTGGTAAGTCTTCATTATTTCATTCTCTCGATGTCTTGACATTGAAGGAAAAGCTTGGGGTTAGGGAAGTCCACTGACTGTCACCTTCTCAGATTTCTTCATTTTGTCTTAAAAAACGAGACATGTGAAAGAACTTGTTACGTCATTCTATCGTCAAATTGAAATAAATCATTTAATTAGTTGGGTCAAAGTACTCCTGGTTAAAACTTTAAAACTCTAATGTTGGCTTTTGTCAAGTGCACAAGTAAAAAAAATTAAATAATTTTGGGTCCCTTAGGTTCATTGATTCTGGCATTAGCTTAACCTCGTTGATTGAGGCATTTTTCTCTTTCATGGGCTTGTTTCCGGCTGCAGTCGTTTGATTTATTAGGGTTCCTGAGCCTCGCCAAGCAAGAATTGCAAGAGTCACGGGTTAGTATTGCAAAATCAACTTCTTATTTTACTTTTACTTTTCCAAATTACTCAAGTGATGCATCTTCACTTTGCATTAGGCAACTTGATGATTGTTGTGTTATTTCCTTCTAATGGCATGGTGTGGACTTTGGAGCATCAGGTTCAATTCGAACATTCATGTGTTCTGGAATTGGGCTACTTATTGGGAGTATCATGCACTCTTTTTCACTGATCGAAAAGAAAAAAACCACTTACTTCTTTGATTAACTGTATTTTCTCTAGAAGTGGTTAAACTTCACGATTACATTGAACTCAAGAAGATCAGATGCTCAAATTTGACATAGATGTACAATAGAATCACGCAATGCTGCTTTTCAATGATCATAGGTGGCATATGTATCCTGAATTCATTGCATCGTATCTGTTTTGGTTATCTTATTGAGGAACTTAGCCATTATGTTGTCTATAACAGCTACGCCGACTGGTATCCTGGGTGCACACATTCTATACTTGAAGCTCTTGTCCTTCTAACTTAATAACAATGTCGTGATAGACAATCAAACTTCAGGAATAATCGTGAATTCTGGTCCCCGGTGAAAATTGATGTTCTTGTCTTCTTTCACAAAAAAGTTATAATTTTCTTAACATTTGAAATAGAATGCCGCATTACGCCTTAACTTGAAAAGTGGAACAGCCGGTCATCTTCCTATCATACTTTTCTTTAAATCTATTGCAGCCTTCTTCCTTGCAAGTTTGCAAATCAATGGCCAGGCTCTTACCTTTCTGAGACTGATAGCGTTCACTGCATATGCCTATATTATGATTTTGTACGGTACTCCTTCAATTATGCAAGTACCCTGTTGAGCTACTTCACTGCAGTTGACTTGTCATATGTATTGCTCTATTGACCAGGATGAGAACTCACATCTTGTTGAAGCTGAAGACGCCCTTTTAGGATGCATGTCTTCTTACAAAGAGGTTAATCGCTCTACTCTTCAGTGGACTAAGCCTCATCTTTTTCTTTGTATGTTGCTTTGCTGGGTTTTAAAGAAATACATCGTTGGCTTGATGCTTCGTGGTCACTGAGAAAAAGGCTTCCTTGTCCAGGGATGTGTGCTGATGTTATTTTTGTACATATTTCCTTTTCTAATGCATAGCCTAAGTGGGACATTTCTAGGTGATTTGTCCTCGTACGGTTAGAATTGGGATTGTTAGCAACTATCGAGGTAATGGTACTGGTGAAGTGAATCTTCTAATATCCTCATATTACAGCACTCTCATTTGTATTAGCAGCTAGAACGGGAGTAAACTCTTTGCCTCAGATGTATGAGGGCAACAAAAAATGTGGAAAATATGTTACGTGCGGTGCAGAGTATTACTTGACCTCTTGCCACTAGCTCTCTCATTGTCGTGATAATTTAGACCTTTCATTTTTCTTCCTGCCATAAAACTGATTATGGGAGCATAAGCTGTTGATCAATACTAAAAAAAAACAGTCTGTCAATAAAGCAGAGCAACCAAAAAAATTAAGCAGAGAAAACTATTGAGATTTAAACTATATAGAAGAGAAGATTACTCAGAATGTGGGCTAGCTTGGCAATATGGTAGTTCAGTAAAATTAGCGACGCCACTGTTGGTTAAAAGTTCATAAGTGGGGGTAGCCCACTATGATCTTATAACTTTAGATTGATTGTGATATTTTCTCATTATGGGTGAATCATTCTTTTGGTTAGCTAGTGAAGTTTTCTCAAACAAATCAGGTTTATCTTATGTTCACGTGCAGTTCGCTCATGAGAGGTCGGTCTGTGGTTTCATTGAGGCGAAGGTTGAGCATCTTTCATGCTTAAAGCATCCAGCAAGCTTGATTGAGGATATCGCTCGGGCAGGGATGCAGCATTCTTAAAAAGTCAATATGCATGAGCTGAAACACGAGAAATTAGTCAAGTTGAAAAGGAAATTTCTCAAATGAGGAGACATCAGAAGTAGACAGGACCTTCTTAATGCCGGATCTGGAGTTACTCTGTCGAGGTATTAAGGCAAAACAGAACTTTCTTGTGCAGGTTCAATTTAGTAAATGTATTCTACTAAGCACATCCACTATTTTCACCTACATTGTTTAATTAGCTAATTTGCAATGCTCCAAAATAGCAGGTGTGTTCAACACTAACATATTTTAGGGAATGCAGCTAGACGGTCCAACATCAAGATGGAACCCTGCGGATTCTGAGGTTGATCTGGTTCTGATAAAGCAATAAATTGGTGATCATCACAACTGGTGAGCTTCCGCATGATTACTGAAGACATTGCAGAACAAAGTGGTATACACTTAGGAATATCGTGCCATGTTGTCTTGATGATCCTCTCATATTTAGCGGAGAAGTTCATTGATGTACTGAGTCACGAGGGCGCTTGGAAGTTGTCTACAAGGTAAGGCATAGAGATATGTGGAGTCATTGAGATCCTAGAAGGTTCAGGAAGTCTTGGATTTCATGTGCCTGCTATTTAGGTGGCTTTTGAAAGGTTGTACGTCCTAGTTAAACAGAGGCAACAAGGTTTTGTATCTAGTTGCTTAGCTTTTCATTTTCCACATTGCAGAGAGTTTAGTTAGCTACTCATTTAGTCAACAAAAGACCAAGTACAAATGAATGAGACGAGTCATCTGAGCTAGACGACGCAATCTCTTCAAACATACCGTAGATTCTCCTTGACCAGCTTCTGTGTGCTATAATTCCAGTCAGAAAGGAGAACAGAATAAAGAAAATCAGCATGTTTTCCTACGTACCTCCAAAATCCGGATCGAATCGAAGATAAGAACCTCAGATTCCTTTTGTTTTCCTTGTAGATGTAGCACCTGCAGTTCAATCACATAGCCCTTTCCAGATTATGTTGGCTCGAGGAAAAAAATAACATAATCATAGGCACATAGCGCAGTGAGTCTTCCTTCTGGAATGCTACAAACAAGTCAACGAGTCTTCATGTTCTAGAAATGCATCATCATTGCAATTGGAACCGTCAAGCAACATTAGATAAGCGTAAATGACCAGAAAACATAAATTAAGAAACCATAAAGCACCTGAACTTAAATTGCTGACAAATTTAGAGTTCAGGGGTAAAAGACAAAAGTTAATTTGTGCAAAAGAAGTACAGTCAGAAAGAATAGTCACCAATGTACAAAGATCTTAACATGAATCCGTTATGGCCTCATAAGCTTCAGGCGTCTCACAAAAATTGGTGTTTAGTGCTGCTTCAAACAAGTTATTCTCTGTAATTTCAAGTTCATGAATATATGTATGCAGGAGAAACGTGAAAAAAAAAATTGGAAAGCAATTAATAAACCTCTCATGAAATAATTAAAGTGGAGGGGAGAAAGGACACCTTCACCAAATACGACTTTGATAGACTAAGGTCACGCAGCTAATGCACAAATGGAGTAAAGAACAGGATATAAATGCGGCATACTTGTGCTTGAGAACTACCAAGAACAACATATTGCAGACATAGGCAATTTAAGAAGCGGAATTATCAAAACAAGCAGAAGAATGGTACTAGAAAACTGCGAGTTTACCATTCCCAGATGATACATGGTGTCTGCGTAATCCGGATGACCATATCCCAAGACTCTCCCTCTTATCTGAATCATTTCGACATAGCACTGAGCTAACAGTTTCACATAATGGGCAATTGCTTCATCTGCAACTCTAAGCATATGCATATTAAAGAAATGAAACTCTGTTATGCAAACTCTGGTTCTTGCTTCAGATATCATTATCATGACTACTACAGAAGAGCTTAAACTGTAAACAAACATTTCCAAAGAGTGAAATTCAAAAAAAATTTAGGTGCCTGTTATAAGCTTGAGCTGGTCGAGCCACCGACAATGAAGCACGTGACATTGGAAGAGCTCAAATGTTGGAAAAGTGGTAGCTCTCTCACTTCAAGAAAAAGTGATATCCAATTTAGGGAGTTGAGACAATCGACCATGCAAGTAAGTACAGATGAATCCATCAAGTGCTTGCACATGTAACCATGCGAGAATGTATGTATGACTCCTTCAAGTGCTTGGAAACAACATTAAAACGTATGGCTCACATGACATACCTTTTGAACTCTCTGTCCAAATAATCATTCCGGGACCCAGAAGACCAAAAAAAAAAAAAACACACACACACACACACACAATGAAATGAAAAAAAAGAGAAAAGGAAGACAATTTGCGTTTGTGTTGAAAATATTATGTATAAACGGCTCAAGTAAGTAGCAATTAAACATTTGACCAAAAAAGAAGTAGCAATTAAACAGGAATTAGAGGAGCATGTAGCTACTTAGAAAACAACTATCGAATCAATTTAGTAAAAGCCAGACTTTGGCTGACGGTTGCAGCAAAAACATTTCAATGATGAGGAGAAAAGATGCAGCAGACTGACAGTGACTAATCTGATACAAAGATAATAAAATCACCTCCTTCATTATATGGCATTTTTCAACACACTAACAGAGCGGAGAGACACTAACCCCCCCCCCCCCCCCACCCCCCACCCCCCACCCCCCCCCCCCCCCTCTCTCTTGCCCTCCCTCCTTAGAATGACCTACCTTTGATGGAAGCAGACCCATAAAATGTGACAAAAATCTTATAGATAAGAATGACAGTGTCAAACTGTCCAACCAAAAGAATTTTCTTAAACTGACCCAATACAAAGTCAACCTTTCCATTTCCTAGGCTAAGTTACCGAGTAAATTAGTCATAAAAATGAAAAATTCCTTTCTCAGCATTAAATTGCCACAGTCTGAGTTCTCCCTATCAGATATAGGCATAGATTCAATACGCACATCATAGAACAGCCAAGAATCTAATGCCACCATTATTGAATATCTTAATTACCTCATAGTGGATTTGAGCTTCTTCTAACTTACGCTGTGCAAGATAAAACGGGCCAAAATTGTGAAAGGCAACTCCAACTCTGCATTTTACAGGTCCCGGAGAGCAAATCAGTTCATATTACATGCAACAGAGGACCCACTCAATAGACCTCCCAATCAAAGCAAAGCAACTAGCGGAAGCAAAACTGTCGAACAAACAGAGCAAGACAACATGTCATGCATTTTGCACGTATCAGCCAATGCATGATTCTGTCACTTCAATAATATTTACTATCATGGTGCAAAGATGCCACGATAAAAGTTATAATGGTGAGCAATCTACCGCAAGTTTGACATAAGTATCAAGCTATACCGTATATCCTGAGGACCAAATGACTCTTCAAGAATATTGACTGCCTCCAAGTACAGTGGCTCAGCTTTATCAAATGCCTTCATAACCTCATAAAGCTCTGCCTGAACAGAATATTGTAACCAAACAGATTATTATTCTGCACCACAGTTTCACAAGTGACATAGCTTGTCATTGATTACTCAATATAACAATTGCATTCAATTTATTCAATCCACCGTTCCCAGATATGCTAACCAAGAGAGATGGGATAGTTGTAAGGGGACAACATTACATTGATTCGGGGCATTGAACTAAGGGATTCCAACATCCTCTAATAAATGTTCTTAGAAAACCCATATAAGTTCAATCCTTGAGTATCCAAATAGGAGAGATGTAGTCCTGTTTATACACATCAAATTATTAGTATTGAGTGAATGATTTAGATAATGGTTAGAGGAAATGTCACAGGCAAATCTAGCTTTAAACTTCACCAATAAATTCAAAAGATACCATCTAATTTGTCTTCTTTCCATCAGTTAATACAAATGGAACACAAACATGGTTACCGACATTGATGAGTGAAAGCTCCTTCAGCACAATTTCTTATTCAACTTTTCAGAGATTTGGAACAAGGCAAGCATATATATAGGCAAAGGAAGCATCTGATTAGTTGACCCACGAGATTGTTGCATGAGGATGCCACATGCTCGTCCCTCTGTCCAAACCCTTCTTTAGCTTCTTGCAGTGCAGAAAGGAAGAATCTTCAGCTTCCTCCAGTTTACCCTAGCATGTTAAAAAAATGAAAAAGATAAAACAACATCAAAAATACCAGATTCAGAACAATAGAGTATATCACCAAGGAAGCTTGCCTGAAGAAATGAATCTCTCCCATTATCAGTGAATACTCTCCACTTGGCCGTATGGATATTCGATACAACTGAACCGTCATCAATCCTGTGGAGTCCAACAATATCAGCGGCTTCTGCATTATTTTCAGAGTTTGACTTGCCTGAAACCCCATCTGCAACAGCTGGATTTGAACTTGTCCCAAGAAATATTGCTGCGTCAATTATTATGCAGGAGATAATCAATTAGAGTAATACCATCACTACATATAATGACTTATCATTCAATATATCAGGCATATACATTGTTAAGAGAAGCTACGAGATCAACCAAGATTTTCGCCATAGTAGAAGGAAAAATCCACGGTGAGACTCACTTTACTAAGAATTAGAAAGATATGGAACAATTCTATTTTGAAGAGACAATCACATAGAAGATGCAAGATAAATTCAAGGAATAAACAGTTGAAGCATATTGTGTTGGCATCAGTACTGTACTGCATATGCTAAGAGCTAGTCTCAAGGGAAGCAAACAAAAATTAAAATAAGGGAAAATGCCACCAAAAACCCCAAACTTTACCCTCTGTGACACATTTACCCCGAACTTTTTTTTGTGACACCAAAAATCCCAAACTTTCCTATTTGTGACACATTTACCCCAATGTACACTGTCCATAGGCATTTTCGTCTTTTCCGCTTTTTCTTTTTTCTTTTTTACTTTTTTTTTCCTTTCCGGCGAGGGTCGCCCTCGCCAGATCCGGCGAGGGCGAGCCTCGCCGGCGTCGGGCGAGGCTCGCCCTCGCCTGGATTTGGCGAGGCGAGCCTCGCCGGCGTCGGGTGAGGCTCGCCTCGCTCGCCCAGCGAGGGCGAGCCTCGCCCGACGCCGGCGAGGCTAGCCCTTGCCGGCGAGGCTCGCCCTTGCCGGCCCAGGCGAGGGCGAGCTCGCCCAACGCCGGCGAGGCTCGCCCTTGCCGGCGAGGCTCGCCCGACGCCGGCGAGGCTCGCCGACGCCGGCGAGGCTCGCCCGACGCCGGATCTGGCGAGGGCGAGCCTCGCCCGACGCCGGCGAAGGCCGCCCTCGCTCGACGCCGGCGAGGGCCGCCCTCGCTCGACGCCGGTGAGGGTCCCCTCGCCGGAAAGGAAAAAAAAGTAAAAAAGAAAAAGAAAAAGCGGAAAAGACGAAAATGCCTATGGAGAATGTACATTGGGGTAAATGTGTCACAAATAGGAAAATTTGGGGTTTTTGGTGTCATAAAAAAAAGTTCGGGGTAAATGTGTCACAAATAGGAAAGTTTTGGGTTTTTGGTGTCACAAGAAAAAGTTCGGGGTAAATGTGTCACAGAGGGTAAAGTTTGGGGTTTTTTGTGGCATTTTCCCTTAAAATAATGAAATGTAGATTGTATGACCACAACAGAAGTGCATTTTCAAGGACATAGATGTGCTCAGAGGAAGAACAACCTTGAAACTACCAAAAAGCAATAGTAATTTTGTTACTTTCCTTTCCTAGATAGCACATCTAATATTTCGTCTCAGGAAGTATTTGAAAGTTTAAAACAGGGTTTCTAGAGAGTAAATCTGCCAATTTCACAGAGTATCGGCAACAAGACAAGAATATACTACACTAAATGTAAATGCACCAGTTCAATGATAAAGCTTCAGTCTTTGTCCAACTTAAACAAGCATAACAGATACATGGCCCATGGTTGCAAACAGTTAACACAACTCAACAGCAAACAAGAAGCTTAAGAATTGTTTGGGACATGACTACATGAGATGTAAAAAGAAATTCAAAAGAATGGAAAGTGTCTAAGAAAAACAGGAATGCAGGATTCAACTAAGAAATCGTTTTAGCATAACTGAGTGGTAGAAAGATCCCAAGAAAAGTTATCAGCTTGAGCAGCCACAACAACCCACCAAGAGAACTCCTCATGCTCCTTTCTCCATGCATCGCCACCCAATCGGAACATATGCAAACCCTTGTGGGGCCTACCGCATTCTTTAAAAGGCTGACTAGCCAATTGAAAGACAAGATCCACAATTCCTTCATGACAATAGATAGGCAAACAAAAGAAGCAAACCACTAGTACAATTAACAACATAGTATTAGAACATACAGTCCAAAAGACTTAAACCATTGAATTATGGGTGAACTAGGTATTATCAATTGCTTCACTGTACTCCAACCCCCCAATGTGGGATTCTTCTTTATTTCACACCTCACTCGTGCATTCGACAAAAACTTCATAAAATGCAATGTATGTGTCAAACAATGCTTTGCGATGACAGTCCACAATACTGTCAAAAGAATGAGGCCTAACTAAGCAACACACATAATGCAACAGTGAAAAGATTTGAGCAACCGCTCCAATCAATCACAAGCAGCAGCATTCTGCCAAAAGCTGCTCAATTGCTGCTCCAAACTAAAACTTTTGCAGGTAATCACAACCTCAAGAAATCGTCATTCATCAAAATCATTTTCACGCCGGACATCAGTAATAAGCTTTTTCTGGCAGATATCAAAATTTTCAAACTGACAATGCTTGAGGCAACAAAAAAGAATCGTACTTGGAATTGGAAGAGCCCAAGGGTCAGTGAATGGTGATCGGGAAGGAGGAAGACGCAAACTAGAATAACGCCTCTCGCCAGCATCTACTCCACGGTTAGACAACCTTCACATTGACCCCAAGCAACAGATCAAACTTTTTAGCTTTTGCTTCTTGAGTTACTTGTCCATGAAAGTCAAGTCATAGAGTTGTCCCCAAAATTCATCAAAATGGCAGCTAATTTTCTCTGGCGAATTCGTCAAAGAAAATTAGTTGCTTGTCGCCGAAGCATCGCTCTCTTTCCCTCTCTCGATCGAGATTAATTCCGTAAGAAACGAAGCTCCAAAGCTGAATAGAGATGGATTGTAAATGCTCCGGCAGTGAACCGCATGGCGTTGCCCAGAAAGTCAAACCCTTTGACTCTCAGTTTGGAGATTCTGTCCCCCAGGCATTCTTGCGTATCCGTGCCTCTCAAAGATAGGTCGAAGCGGTAGATTAATCCCTTTAAAACCTAATTTACCCATTTAATTTGGTTTAGATAATGTAGTTACTGTGAGCACCAGCTCCATTCCAATCGCCCTAGAACGGATAGGTGCAATAAGAGGAAAACAAATGAGTCCGTACAAAGTTGAAATATTTCCAAAGTAGACATTACCGAGATGAAGACTAAATAACATGAAGGAAGATCGACTATCCTGAATAGGCTTGGGGTCGAAGGAAAGGACCACTCCAGCTATCTCCATTATCCTCTGTTTACAGACAGCATGTCAACATCAACTAAGGAAAAACAAGAAGCAGCAGAATCTTTAAATGTTAAAATACCTCCAAAATGTAACGGGCGATCCACAATTCATCTCCAGCTGAAATTCCCACAGATGAACCAACTTGGAATTCCCACTACATTAAAGGTGATAAATTATTTGCATGTCTAATTAATAAATATAATACAACTGCAAAGTCCCACATAATAAAAGTCATTATGTAAATCTTTTCTCCCTGATCTAGTCTCTTACCTGGCCAGGCATCACTTCCCAATTAATACCACTGATCTTAATACCAGCATACAAGCAAGCCTTATAACGAGCGTCAACAATATCCCTGCCAAATGCTTTATCAGCACCAACACCATAGTAGTAAGGTCCCTGAAGCATCATAGCAGAAGTCCAAAATGACATAGCCAGCACAAGTAACGGGCAAATACCTTTGGTTTTAGCAAAGACAGGAGTGAATGGTAAAAAGGTTACGGTTAAGCCTCCACAATCAAACTCTCCCACTCAAGAAAGGGAATGTGCGCCCCACTCCTTATGGAAAAAAGAAAGGGAAGAAAAGAGCAGATACTTCACAGTCAATTGACCCTGATCATGCTGAAAAATAGATGATTGACAACAACGGGACAGCTATCCTTGCTTCCACTTGGCATTCCATTGATCGTTCTTTAGTTTTAGCATGGACAACTAGTCTGGATCCAAAGCTAATGAAATGGCTAAGGAGAGTGCCAAGCCCAGACCATACACCAACAACCGTGTTCAGTTTTATAGCTGTTGACTTTACAAGCTAAAAAAAAATTGCAGTACCTGGGGACCAGGATAGCCACCAATAGGCCACCCTAGAGGCCAGTTAACACCTTCTACAATAGGGTGTACTCTTGCTCAAGTCCATACATATTTCCACGAGATTGAAATTTGACGATAAGTTTGGATGGATGGAAAAGAGGTAATTGTCAACCAACAAACTAATAAAGAAAAGATTGTGGCTTTGAAACATACCAGGTCTCTTCAGCAACAACGTTAGGATGGTTGAAGATCTTGGCAGCAGCACACCTCTTATCTGTGGGAATTGGTTCTCCCCCAGGAGTGTAGGCATCACAAATTACCTAAAACCCAATTAGGATTTTAGACGGCAATTAAAGGATGCTATGAATGTAATACCCAAGGAAAAAAAAAAGACAACGATGCATCGCATCGTGTATAGATAAGGGGAGAAAACTCCGAAGAATGTTGTTGCCCCCCCGAAAAGATCATTGAAAATTTCTGGAGGACTGTTTGATGAAATTTCCAAAGAATAAGACAATCATGTCAATTCAAGCACCAATAATCGACGAGTTAACAAGCGAAATTGCCAACATATGACCAAGCAAAGCGCTAAAAATTGCTCGTGAAGAAGATAAAGCAAAAAACTCAGTATAAAATCACTTCACTGTCCTCTCCAGGAACCTGGTTTGTGCTGGATCATCGTAGTTCCACTTAGGAAGCTTTGAAGGATCATTAACAGGACCAGAGAGTGTCTATATCATCAAAAGTAGCTAAAGTTAAGCAGAGCATGTGCAGTGAAGATTACCAACAGCAGTAACAACTCGTTCGCTTGTCAACTACTCGCGCACAGAGTTACCTACCCTTGCTTTGCTCCTCATGTCCATCACAGATCCCCCAATCCTATTCAATCAAACAATACACGTGATAGGGATTAGCATAGTAGAATTTGATCTCAGGGTTTAAAACGAGATAGCACGTATCAGTTGAATTATTTTAATGGAAGCTAAAAGTAAACCAAGTAAGATGACAGAATACTCAGATAGATGCGCGAGAAGGATAGAAAACAGAAAACAGTAACTTAGGAAAGACATTAATGTTTGACAAATAATCCCAACAGTTAGAATCTTAAACATATGACCGGAAAGCGTAAACAAATGACAAATCTATGAACTATAAATCAAGCGGAAATGCTATCTTCTATCAGATAGACCCACAAAAGGTGATTACTAAGCCTTGGTCGGATACTTCAGCGATTTCTCTTGATGCTAGTACCTTTTCCGGATTAAAAAAAAAATTAAACTAGCACAACAGAGGAAAGACTCCATTTCCATGCTCATGTTTCGAACAAGAAAACGGAAGAAACAAAAGTTTGAAGAAACGCAATACCTCAAAGAGGGAAAAGAAACAAGCATTCACAAGTGAAGAAACCAAACCAACGACCACAATCTTCAAACCAATAATTTCTTTCCTAGGATCTTACACACATCCTAGCTACCGCTAATAAATTTTGTAGGTACCTGCCGTTTCCCGAGAGCTGTGCTGAAACTCTGACATTTCAGAGGATTTTGCAGCTTCCGGCAGCTTAATCGAATTTTTTTGTTTCCACACTTTCGACCTTTGTCAAGAGGTGCGTTTCCCCATCTGCATAAAGAAAGAGTCAAATGATAATTGCATCCGCCAGATCCCCGAAAAAACACTAGATTAGATCGATAAGATGTTTGGAACATCAGATCATTCGCAGCGAGGAACAAGGACACTGAAACATCACGTTGAGCAAAAAGAGTTCCAACAAACCTATTAGCCTGGGAAAACGGCATTTTATCGATGGCAGATTCTAAATCAACTCCAAGAACTGGTTCCTTCTTCAAAAAGATCATGCCACCGCCGGGCCGAGCTCAGGTCCGTCGCCGATCAGCTCGGCTCAGATCTAGGGTTTCGCGGAGAGAGAGAGGGGGAGATCGGGGCAATCGGGCCGTGCTCTGGGTAGGATCATAACCTAACTTAAACCCGACCCGAACAATACTTACATCTAAAAATCCTGCCGAAAATGCCGGACCCCCACAAACCCGAAATACTCGGGTAAAAATTTCGGATCCCCGTAAAAAAGGCATATAAATCGTTTCGGCTCCTTCTTCGAAGTTCTCCACCACCATCGCAAAAAGAAGTTCGAAACCATGGAGAAAGTGCTCCTTCGTCTTCGTCTCTCTCAAATGCTCGACAGGCGCGTTCCCCGTCGCATGCCTCCGTCGCTTAGGAGGCCTCCTCCGCCTCTCAGGAGGCTCATCGGCGGTTGCAGACAGGTCATGGTGTCGCGGTTCGGCGGCCCCGTGGGGTTGGAGCTCCGAAATGTGGAGTTCCCACCTGTTTTCGAATACGACGTTCTGGTTCGCGTTCGAGCAGTTTCCATCAACACCATCGATTTGGCGGTGAGTTCCATCAATCCGATCGTTAAGTGCTGAAAATACTTGGATGCTTAGCATGTTTTAGGCATTAGATCTGGCGTTCGGTCATTACGTGCTGAAAATGCTTGGATACTTAGCCATTGGATGTGGCGTTCGGTTGTTCAGTGCTGAAAATGCGTGGATGCTTAGTTTGGGTGTGTTGTGTTAACTCTGTTCTGCTTCCAGACATCTTATGGACTTCCTTCCCGAGCACATCTACCATCGCCACCTTTCGTTTTGGGATACGATTTCAGTGGCGAGGTACTAGAAGTTGGACCTGACGTTGAGGGAATAAGAGCCGGAGAAGATGTTTTTGGGGTTCAATATAATCTTCGATGGGGGGCACTTACTCAGAGTACTTGAACTTTGGGGTATTCAACCTCATACAAAAACCAGATAACATTACCCATGAGGTTAGCAGCGAGTTCTTTTGTGAAGTTTTTGATTGAAAGAGCATCGTGGCCTCACATGTATAATCTTGTAGGAAGCGTCAGCGATTCCATATCCTGCCATGACTGCGTGGGCGGCATTACTAGAATTTGCTAAGATGAAAATCGGGTACATTCTGAATTTCTACTGCATGTCCAGTGAAATCAATTTGTTTCCCATTGGGAAATCCATTTAGCTGTCTATTTTGACCTTGTTGTTTCCTTTTGGTAGAGAAAGGGTGCTCATTGTGGGCGGTGACGAAATAATTGGTTATTCAGCAATTCAGCTTGCTGTGGCTCACGGATGCCACATCGTGACCACATGTCGTGGTGAAAACATTGCTCTAGTGTTAGCAGCTGGCGCTAACCAGGCAGTTGACTGCTTGAGCGAGGTATGTCATTGTGTGTTTGCTTTCATCATTGGCAATTAAGGGGAAATTTGATTACTCTTTGCTTGACAGGACATCCAATTGGCAGTTAAAGGGAAATTTGATGTTGTTTTCGATACTATCGGTGCAGTAAGGACCGAGAGAATAGGCCTCGGTCTTCTGAAAAGAGGAGAGAGAATAGGCCTCAGTCTTCTGAAAAGAGGAGGACGCTATGTCAACCTCAAGGTAAAATTAAACGCAATTGTATGATTTCTCTTTTCGCAAAGTGTTTCAAGCTGAAACTTATCTCAACCTCTATTGCAGGAGAATGTTCCACTGGATCATCCTGATAATTTGATTTACCCATTTAGAGATAACTCGGAGTTGATTGCAGATCTCTACAAAAATCTTGGAATAGGTATGGTGTCCAGCTAGTTTGATGATCTTCACTTGACCGTGTCACTTCATAAAAAATATTAATCTTCTGTATGGCGGCAGTATATCACACTATACGCCGGCCGTCCTCCCGCCCTAGTTTAGAGGTGATCAGCAAGCTAGTTGGAGCCGGATGGATGCGCATACCTATTGCTAAAACGTTCCCGATCACACAAATTTCCGGGTACGTCAATCCTAACACTTCCCCTTTATTTCGTTTTAATGAAAAAACTTATAAGGAAGAATTAGGCAAATTTATTTCCGTTGAGCATTTAGCATTTAATTTTGGAGAAAGATTTGGTTTTAATGAATTTGTACAAAAAGCATGTGCTCCACAAGCAAAACGTGTTCCTAGAAATTCAATTAAACGAGTAATTAAAGATCTTTACAAAAATGGAAAAAAAGATTTACAAAAATTTTTTATGCAATTTAATGGATGCGTGCATATAGGTAGTGATATTTGGAGTGATCATTGGCAAAATCATTCTTACATGGGCATAACATGTCATTGGATAGATGACGAGTGGACTATTCAAAAAAGAGTTATTGCATTTAGAGTTTTCGATGATCATCATACGGCAAATAATATTTATAGAATAATTAGGCAAGTTTTAGAAGAATATTATCTGCTTAACAAAATTTTTTCAATTGGTTTTGATAATGCCGCAGGAAATACCGCTTCAATTGCCGAGTTAGAAAATATTTGTAAACCTGCTTTTGGCGGAAAATTTTTTCACATTAGATGTGCTTGTCATGTTTTGAATTTATGTGTACAAGATGGTTTGAAAACTCTTGATATTTTTCTTCAACCAATAAAAACAGCGATTCAATTTTTATGGAAACATCCCCAAAAAATGAAAGAATGGGGTAAATTTTGTAGAGAAAATCGCGTAAAGCCAAAAAAATTTCCAAGAGATATTCCAACTCGTTGAAATTCTACTTTCCATTTGCTTAATGAATGTTTACCATATAAAGATTTATTATGTGCATTCATTTTTAATAATATACCTCAGATTAATTTATACCCACAAGAGTGTCATATTTGCCAAAAATTTTTAGATGTTTTAAAGGTTTTTAATGATGCAACTTATACTTTGTCCGGTGTTTATTATCCTACTACACATTTATTTTTAGTAGAGTGTACTAATATTGTCGGAACTTTTGATGAATATGAAAATGATGTTGAATTACAACATACTATAGTTGCAATGAAAATGAAATGGCTTCATTATTATAGTGAAATTCCCATTATTTATTTAGTTGCTTGTATTTTTTATCCACGTTGCAAATTGGATGGCTTAAATGATTTTTTGCGTGTATATTATCAATGTTTACATTATGATGTGACAAATGTTACAACCATAGTACGTGAGGTTAAAAACTTAGTAATAGAATTATATAATGAATTTTATACTAAATATAATTTAGGTGATATTGGATCTTCTCAATCTAAGGAGATACAAAATGACAATACAGGTAAAATTAGTAGAGGGTACAAACTTTTATTACATAGACAAAAAAAACAAAAGGGAGTAATGGGAAATATTTCTGAATTAGAGAGTTATCTAACCATTTTATTTGAGTTTACTGAAGCCGAAGGTGGTACAGATTTTTTAATTTTGGATTGGTGGAAGAGGCATGCAAGCCAATACCCAATCCTTTCTCTTATTGCAAAACAGATTTTTTCAACCCCTTGTTCCACAGTTGCGGTCGAACAAGCATTCAGTGCCGGAGGTAATATTTTGAACGAACATCGTTCAAGATTAGATCCAGAATCAGTGGAGATGCAAGCTTGTGTTGCTGATTGGACGAAGGCTCAATACCGGCAACAAGAGATAGATCGGAATAATGAATCCGAATTCTTTAACGACGGAGATACTACCGCCACCAGTATCGGTACTGGAACGAGTAGTGACGATTGAGGGTAAAAGAACTATTGGAGTTGGCAAATATTTCGGGAACTCTTGTTTCTCATACCGGGTACGCTCACGTGAGCTTAGAGAAATCGAAATATAATCCGACGATATGTGACCTCTGGTCCCCTGCGCACGGAATGCTTAGGTTTTGGGATAATTTTAGGGTATATATATTGTACTCCTTTTTTTTTTTAAGATCGATGTAACGAATTGTAATGTGTTTAATGATAATTTATTAAGTTGAAGCCCTCTCTTTCTCTCTTGTCTTTTTGTCCCAAAATTTGAGTACAATTTACATTTTAATCACAATTTATATTGAATAATGTTCTATCACAAGAATAGTATTTTTTTTATTTTTTTTATTTTCATTTCTGTTTTTCCTTTTCTGTTTTTCTTCTTTTTCTTTTCCTTTTCTGTTTTTCCTTTTTCTCTTTTGTCTTTTTTCCTTGTTTTGTTTCTGTTTTTTAAAATTATAATTTATATTTTATTTTTTTTTCTTCCTCCGCGGCCGGCCATGGCCGGGGCCGGCGCGGAGGTCGCCGGCCTCAGGCGAGGCGACCCTCGCCGGCGTCGGGCGAGGCCGACCCTCGCCTGGGCTGGGCGAGGCCGACCTCGCCTGGGCTGGGCGAGGCTGGCGAGGCTCGACCTCGCCAGAGGAGGTTCCGGTTCCGGTTCACACTTGGCCACGAACCGGAACCGCCGGTTCCGAACCGTGGCCACCACTAGTTACGGCTCCAATAATTTGAGATTTTTTTGTGTTTTTTACCTTATTAATATCAAGAAAAAATTGGTCATTCCTTTTATTTGCTAGAAAATGTCCAAGTTATTTTATTTTTTGGCCTATTGTGATAAAAAAAATATATTATTTTCAACACTCTTTCCATTCTCAATCTCATCCCCGCGTTTTTAAGCTATTGAAATAAATCCACGCCTTATAAAAGCATATCAAATTTATTCCATGATCGGATTCGCTCCCAACACCATAGTTTAATCATCAATTTCCCCTTTCGGGATCATGTCTTTACAAGATTCCTATCGAGTTCGTACTGTATTTAAATGAGCCTAATCTGTTTACATCATGTTTATGGAAATAATTCAAAAGATTATAGTATATAATCATGCGAAATACAATAAATGAAAGTCGTGGCAAAATTAGAATTGGAAAAGTAATCTAACTGAATATTTCCTTGGAAAAATGGTGCTAGAGGGTCTGAGATGCAATTGAAATAGACTTGAAAGGTGGCTTATTTCCCTAATAGGATTAAAAAGTCGGAATAAAATTGAATACTATCGTAAAGGGCGGCATTTGTTTTGTCGTTTGTCTTCTTTTCTTAGAAAGATGGAGCAATAACCGGTTTCGATAGGATTTTTTTTTTTCTTGCAATCACATTGGTGCGGCGTAAGTCACAAATGCTGCTAATTTGAGTGAACCTACATTGTAGACACCTCCAAATGTGAGTTTAAAGTAGAGCTCGAGCGGTCTCTACAATGAACGCTCGAGCTCTCCGCTATAAATAAATGTGCATCTCGTGAGATCGTTAAGGGCGCGTATGAAATTATTTCTGTTTCTCTATTTTTTTTATTTTTCTATTCTTAGGAACAGATTTGGAACAGAAATCCGTTTGGTAACGTAATTTCATTTTTCCATTTCTAAAATAAATTTATATTCCAGAAATAGGTTTGGAACAGAAATTATAAGTAAAAAAATTTATTTTTCTATTTCTAGAATAGAAATGAAAAATAAAAACTATTTTTATCGCTCTCACTCGCTACTAGCCAGCCACTCTCTTGCCGCTCGCTATAGCTGTCGGCCGCCTCTCGCCATCGCTGGCCGCCTCCCATTGGTGTCCTTCGCTGACCGCCTCCTCCCACCGCCATCCTTTATCGTTCACCGCCGCCCAATGCCGACCGCAACCCGCCCACTGCCGCCAGCTATCGTGCTCCACCACCCGACGCTGGAGGCCACCCGGTGCCGGTGGCCTCCGGCCACTCTTCGCCGCCGGTTGCCTCCCGTCGCCTCCCGCTGCCGATCGCCCCTCGGGTGGCCGGGGGCCACCCGCCACTGACCACCATCCTCCACCGCCGGCTGCCGTGCTCCACTACTCGACACAGGTTGCATCCGGCCGCCATGCTCCACCGCCAGACTCTGGCTACCTCTCGCCGCCGGCCGCTGTCATCCGCAGTTGCCCGACGATCGCCGCCGCCGACCATCGTTCTTCACCCCCTGCTGCCACCTACCATCCACCGCCGACCGTTCGGAAGGAAGAAATTTTGTGTCATTATCAAATGAATTTATATTTCGGAAACAAAAATTGTGTCGTTATTAAACACATATTTTTGCTCAAAAACTCGTCCACGAAATAGAAATAAAAAAATCTATTTCTAGTCAGAAATTGATTTCTGAAACAGAAATGTTACCATGCACGCCCTAAGTAACTTGAGGATTTGAACTAAAATGACACATTTATCCTAAATTTTTCTCAAGGATACAAGTTTAAGGTTTTTTGCGCCAAAAAAAAATATGGGATAAATATGTCGTATGGGTACAAATTTAAGGTTTTTTGTGTCATGATAAAAATGTTAGGATACATGTGTCCCAGTATGTATGATTTAGGGTTTTTTGTAGCTTTTTACATTAAAAAATATAGGTTTATTAAATGAAGTTTTAGACTATTAGTGGACCATGTGCAAATAAGTAGCCCGACACTTCCAGCAATGTACCAATTTTACAAATCAGTCTTGCTAAGCACGACATTTTCCGTGTCTGTACACTGTTCTCGTGTGGACATTCGGGCAAATCTGGGCGAACTTTGAGTACGTGCAATTTGGGGGAAGAGGCGGGAGGGACTTCGTGGGGACAAATAGCGACGACGATGGCCATGATTTCGTCGAAAGCAATAGACCCTTTTTGCCATATTTGATTGGGATGGAAGGGGTCGCATGACAAAGATGTGGCGGAGTGACGTGGTTTGTTTCGTTTCAGCATTAGGAAACCCACCATCGATTTTTTCCCCTTACGACCACGGCCATTTCACCGAGGAATAAATGCAGATGAAATCAATCAGACAAAGCGAGACAACGTGG